GTCTACGAAGCGGAAGTGGTTCGCGTGTGCTGCTGCCTCGACTTGTTCCTATTGTTCATTTTCTTCTTCTTTTTCTTCTTACTCTGCTGTTAGGCACTATGATGGTGCCTTTGTTGGCCATGGCTGCCTGTGGCTTTTGCTCTGCGTTCTGCATTTCACGCTGGGCATGCAAATGCAAATCTAATACTCACACACGCACAATACTATACACAGCACACAAACAAAAAGAAAAAATATTTTACGAAAAACAGGAAATTGAATTTTCGACTTTGCCAAGAGTGTGTGACTGACTGTGTTACTCTGTGTGTTTGCATACACATACACACACACATACTCGTACATGTATGTATGTACTCGTACGTGAGACAGGAAGAAGTACACAAGTGTCGGCGCATAAGTTGTTTTGGGTGTTTCGGGCGTTTCTGTATGTTTAGAGGCTGCTCGACTGCAACTATTACGGGAGTAACAACGCAAGGCTGCCAGAGGCTGTGCCTCTGCCTCTGCCCCTGATCCAGCAAGCTATGCTAACTCTTATTCTGATGCTGATGCTGACTCTGGCAGTGCCAGTGCTCATTTCGCATACAAAACAGCTGGAAAACGGAAACGAAATACATATTTAACAACAGAGCGCAATACATGACTGTAAATGTAAGGTCTGTATGCGAAACGAGATCAAGAGCCCATTAACTGCTTTATTCAAATAAACAAAAAGGCCACAATTGGATTCACAATTATTTACTTCCAAAAAACAAACCAAATTAATCCAAAAACTATCCAAATCTGAAACTTCTGAAAAATGTAGCTTACTGCAGTTAGAGGTCATTGATTCCAACTCATTTTCCTAAAATGTAAAGTTATGAATTGAATGATCTCGGGAATTACTGGAAACTACTCATTATACAAATTGAAGTCTACACCAAAGTTAAAAATAAAGGAGCAAATTTGCAATAATACTTGTAATTAACATGAAACTTTTCAGTCTTTTTGATAACGACGCACTCTCTAACAGCTGTAGTCTTTTAGAAAGTATAGTATGATGAGATACTTTAAGAAGTCCAAATGCTTGTAATTTTAGCTGCTTTTACGTGTAAACACTTATATATATTTATTTTATAGCGTCAGTAGCATATCACTAACAATGCACTAACAAAAAAGACGGAGAGTCCAATATTGCTTCAGATATTGTTTGGAGCAGACTACATGCGCACTGGATCTTTTTTTTTTTTTGATGGAAAGTCAAAAGTTTATATTTATATTTAGACCATTGTTAGTCTACACTCTTTTCAGGGGGTGTGTATGATTTTTTAAGTTTTCCTATACTAATTTATCAGTTATTATTATAATAACTTATATTAATGTCTTAAAAAAAAGAATACAATCAACTTAACGCATATGAAGGGGCTATTAAAAATTAAACATCTGTTGGTGAGATCAATAGGGTCCGAACTTCTCAGCTTTCTCACCACCTTGAAGCCTTTTATTCTGTGCTGTTATTAGTTTACTCGTATATTGAACAGAGCATTTTTTGACGTTATTTTTTAACATTTTATTCATTATGGCTTTGACAAAGTAATACTCCTAAATAAAGAAAGGTAATCCGGATAGAAGAGATTTGTTGGCCTTTGAAATCTTGTTGTCTTCTATAAACGAATCATCTCACACCACTTGCATTCCTTAAATGAATGCCATGCTTTATATTGCAACTTTTTGGAATTCATTCGATATATTTTAACTACGATAATATCTTAATCATAGTGTTTCCACAAAAAATGTAAGCGAGAACATTAAGCATCTGTATTTTTAAATGTCTTGAAAATTGTTCAGTTTCAATTTGGTGTGTACTGTTGTTTAAATGGTCCCTCTAAGGATATGCAGTTATATAAGACCACAGTTTGACCAAAAACGTGACAAGTGATCCCTTTAAGTCACTGACCTCGACTAAATTTTGATTACACACCTTATGTATGGTAGGTGCGTCAACGGGTTGCTTTCATTGTCGGTTGTTTGAAGCGTTTTGCATGTGCTTGGCACTAGTGCACAATTAATAGGGCGTGGCCGGGCATATTACTTGATGACAGCTTTTCCGATGAAGATGCCTTAACACGAGGCTGCCTCACTTTGTTACCACTGCGAACATAACATACCTGTGAGGAATGGAACAGATATAAGGATAAGGGTATGAGGAGTCGCTGAAATGAATAGCTCGCAAGCATTTGCAAGTCAACAGACTCACACACACACACCCACAGGAAGTATTCAATGACTTATCATATACAAATTACAAGCGTATTGCTTTCAGCAAATTTGACGCTCTGCACCGACGCCCCATGCTGTTCAGCTATTCTGTTTCTGCCCTCAATCTCTCCCTCGCAGATTCTGAGCAACGCAAACAAAAGTCAAAAAGTTACAATTTACGCTTGTAAATTGCTTTAAAAACTTCTGGTGCTATCTGCCGTTACAATTTTGCTAATTAACTCAACGCGCAAGTTAGAAAACTCTCTGCTTGCTCCCCATGTTGACAGCAGTCGCCCAGCTACCTCATCCTGCCGGTTCTGCCACATCCTCCCCCACATCCACCCACAAATCCGCCATCGCTGAACGCTAATTTTGCTAATCAAAGTGAAAACAGCAAAGGAGAAGAACGCGGACAAACTTCGATTTTATTAAACGGAAAACATGAAAAACAAATAATAACAAAAACAACAACTACGACGACGACGACGACAATGTCGGCAGGAAATTTGAAATGGAATGTTTTGTACCGAAAGCAATAATAATAACAACAATAAATGTTTAACAAAATTCTTGGCCTAAAATTGAAGGCAAAAGCTAAAAAAAAAAAATAAAGGAGAAATAATAAATGCCATTGAAGGAAATGAGTTCGTTTCGCTTTTAGGTGATAATTAGCAGGGCTTTTTGTTGCCGTTGTTAAAGAGAAAATGATAATTTAAAGATAGGCCAAGCCCGGCATGTAGTAGTTGTTATTGTTGTTGTTTCCACCGCTGCTGTTTCTGTGTTGTTGTTATTGTTGTTGTTGTTGTGGAGGCAGCACGTGGCACGCTCACAACAAAGTTTGGCGGCTGCAAAAACGCCAAAAAGTCGATAATGTCGCGGCATAGTCGGTACAGCAATAGAAACGACAACAACAACAACAACTCGAATATAGAATGAGAGAAATGACAGTCTCTATGGCGGCGGCGGTAGCAGCGACGGCGAAGGCGAAGGCGACAGCGACGACAATGGCAGCGCCAAAGGCAAACAATAACAACGCAGCCGCCATCGTGGCATCCACCGCCGACACGGCCATTGCTCAAAAGCGTTGGCAAAAACTAATAACCAAAAATTGGGTTCACTTTTCGGGTCGGCTCAGTGGCGAGGCGAACTCGACAAACTCATAAAATTCAAGCCATTGAGTTTTTGAAATCGCTTCGAGCTTCATTTCGATTGCACAACCCTCAGAGCCCCTGGCATGGGCTAGCCATGGGTTCAACCCCACATCGTTTGGCTGCTGCTTCTGTTAGCCTTTTGACTTCTGACTCGCCCCTCGCGGTCCCGCATCGCTTGCCCATTTAAATTCGTTACGTTTCGACTGCCATTCGCCGTGACTATGCAGTCAACTTAATGAAATTTATAGTTTAATCTGATAGATAGGAAATTGCTTTGTTTTTTTTCTCTTTTCCTCCCCCCAGCCCCAACGTTTTAAGGTGTGAGGTTCTGCCATAGTAATTGGCAGAATTGTTGGCTCAGTCTAAGCAGAAATATGAATACGCGAGGGTGCCAACGAGTGTGACGATAAGAAGATAACATCTGGAAAGCTTAAAGTGACATTTTTTCTAAAGTTAAAGTCCCTGAAGAGAATTCACACGCATGTTTACCAAATTGAATACTTACATAAGTAGTTCCGGTTACATATATAGTATGTACAGGCATAGATTTATTGATTTAATCACCAACAAAATAATTTCAAGATAAATTCGCTGCAGAGTATAAGGATTTATTGGTGTTGAAGTGTACAGTATGTTGGAACACCAACAAAAAAGTATCGTAGACCTCAAATATTCGTACAGTAACTAGCACGCATGGATACATGTTAACATCTTTTGACTTCAAGCACCTGTAAAATACTTTAAAGGGCATCAACCGAACTTAAAGTTTTGATATTTTATTCTTTATTTTTATTTTTATGAAATGAAATGAACAACTTTTATTTATATTTATCAACTTGAATAAAATAATTAACAAAATCATAGCTAATCTTTTATTTTTGATCAAAAAAAAGGAAAACTCAAAGAATAATCATTATTTTATAAGTTTTATTTTTTTGCTCAAAAAAAGAATAATTATTATTATTATTAAAACTTAAAATTAAACACTATATTTTGAGAAAAGGAATATAAATTAAAATGTTTAAATTATGGTAAAACTGCATAACTAATCGTCGAAAACGATATTGGCAAATTTATCGCTCTCCTAAAGTTACTGTAAGTGAATGATTTTTTCGTAAAAAATTCAAATAATCAATTTTTGCGGTCCCTCCCTTTGAATTACAATAATCATAAATGAAAAAAATTTGATATATATAAAAATATATGTATAGCGGTGAACCAATTTAAAATACGATATTACTATAGATTTTAAAAGGCAGCTGAAAAATATGTGATTATTTACTGTCTGAGAGCGGGGCTAGGAGTTTGGTTTTGCTTTGAAGTGATTTTAATGTTGCCAGATCGCTGAACCCAGTTGGCCAGCTGATATGAAAACAGGTATGAAGTTTTTGTTGTTGTTGTGTGTTTGCCTACCTGTTTGTGTTTACTGTGCTCTGAGGCTGCTACTGCCTCTCCGATCAGTTCAGTTTTGCAGGCGGCGCGTTCAACAACACTCGATTTAAAGACGCAACGTGACTTTGAAACGTTTTCGCTCTGCGCTCTTTTCTTTCTTATTTTCTGTGTTTGTTGGTTTTCACATGTTTGATGTTTTGATACCAAAACTGCACAACATAAATGCCAGTGAGTGTGTTTTCTCGTATCTAAACACGATTCGCGTGATGTATTCGAATGATGTTTAATAAATAGAGAATTGAAAAGTGTTTGGAATTTATGCCAAATAAACGAATGTCTGAGGGCCTTTGAACTGTGGCTCATATAACATACATATATATGGCTGCAACCACAACCACAATTTTACCTTGTACATACATACATACATACATATGTATAGTTTTTATACCGTATAAACGCGCAGTGCGAACCAGGCCGTGCATTTTTTGCCACTTACTACTGCCATGGTCAGTGCAACGACGTCTGTCTTTCGTCTTTATTTTTTCGAAACGTTCTCGCTTTGTTGCATTCCACAATAAATGCTACTAATAACAGAAAGCTACAACAACAATAAGCAGCAGCAACAGCATAGTAGTAGTAAAGAAAAAGGCAATCAAATACTGTGCTCTGTGCCGCTTCATACAACAATAAAAAAAAAGTTGCTTGACTTGTTTGCCTGGGTGCTTGTGTTCATGTATGTGTATCTGTGCATGTTTGTGTGTGTGTTTGTGAATGTGTGGCTTTAAGGCCGCTTTGAATGCCTCGGCATGTTGGTTATAGAAAGAAGAAAAAAACTCTTGGCAGCCAGAGCCACAGCCATCGCAGCCGCATTCTACATAAATTACAAAAATAAAATGACACATAAAAGCCATGAAAATAAACTCAAAATTTATGCACATGAACCCAAAGTCTGAATTCAACAGAAACAGAAACAGAAACAGCAACAACAAAAATACAAAATCACAACAATGACCAACGATTTTATGTAATAAAGTTTGCAAATTATAACAGGGTCTCATGTCACATTTATGCGACAAGTATTAATGAATGTGTGAAACATTTCTGGCCAAGTTTGTTGTCTAAGTCATTTGATTTTTTTTCGGACTGTGATCTCCTGTCAAGCTGACGATCGTATTAGAGGAAATAGCTAAAGCGTCAGCAACAACTAAAATCATGATACAACCAACATTGCGACCAGTTTTTGTAGCGCAAGTTTTTCATTTCACATTCTTTACTGCTTTTTCCTGCCACACAATCTGAATCTCATTTCCTCTCCCTCTCTCGCTCTTTTTTCTCTCTGGGCTATCCTCTTCGTTGACGGCTAAGAAATTCTTGCGCCACTTTTTCTATTTTCTAAAACGTTCTTCTTCTATATCTAGTCAGACATTTGCTTCAGTGAGAGCATGCAAAAGTTCTTGTTAAAGCCATTGGGCGCCAAATTGTAGGTCTAGCTTGCCAAAGGCAGAGCATATTTTAAAAGAAATTACTATTATAATGAGTCTTTATTGGGGTACTTAGGCTTATGACATTTTTTTATTACACATACTACAATTATTTCAGTTTAATAGCTTACCATATTTGGAAAATGGCTTAAATAGTTTGCAAAGTAATCAAATTTTTGAAGCTACATCTGTATTATTTTAACTATTTTCGGTCTCGGGTTGCACTATTTAGCAGTCCCTTGAAGAAATTCTAAACATATTTCTAACCATTTGTAACCTCTCAGAACGAACTGGAGTGCACACCAGAGCTGCCCGCCGCTGAGCGCGCTCTGTTTCTGGAAAAGGTACGACAGTCGAATGCGGCTTGCCAAAGCGGAGACTTTGCCACCGCGGTGCTACTCTACACGGATGCATTGCAGCTGGATCCAAGCAATCATATATTGTACAGCAATCGCTCAGCAGCTCGCCTTAAGCAAGGACAATTCGCTGCTGCACTGCAGGACGCCACCCAGGCGCGTGAATTATGCCCACAATGGCCCAAGGCGTACTTTCGCCAAGGCGTGGCTCTTCAGTGTCTCGGCCGCTATGGTGAGGCTCTGGCATCGTTTGCTGCGGGCTTGGCGCAAGAGCCGACACATAAACAGCTGCTGGCAGGTCTCGTGGAGGCTTCTCTGAAGAGCCCCCTACGATCGACCCTGGAGCCTACGTTTCAACAGCTGCGTGCCATGCAACTGGATCAGTCACCCTTTGTGGTGGGCTCTGTGGTGGGTCAGGAGCTGCTGCAGGCGGGGCAATATCAAGCCGCTGTCGCTGTACTGGAGGCTGCTCTGCGCATTGGCAGTTGCTCTCTCAAGCTACGTGGCTCTGTTTTCAGCGCCCTGAGCTCGGCGCACTGGGCGCTCAATCAACTGGATCAGGCCATTGGATACATGCAGCAAGACCTGGCAGTGGCGAAGTCACTTGGAGATACCGCAGGCGAGTGTCGAGCCCACGGAAATCTGGGCTCTGCATATTTTAGTCAAGGCGCCTATAAGGAAGCCCTAACAGCGCATCGCTACCAGCTGGTGTTGGCCATGAAATGCAAGGACACGCAAGCAGCAGCAACGGCGCTCACCTCTCTTGGTCATGTGTACACAGCCAGTGGCGATTATCCAAATGCTCTTGCTTCACACAAACAATGTGTGCAACTGGTCAAGCAATTGGGGGATCGCTTGCAGGAGGCCCGCGAGATTGGAAATGTGGGTGCGGTCTATTTAGCCTTGGGAGAATGTGATGCCGCTCTGGATTGCCATACGCAGCACTTGCGACTCGCTCGCAAGCTGCACGATCAGGTTGAGGAGGCACGTGCCTACTCCAATCTCGGTTCTGTGCATCATCAGCGGCGCCAATTCGCTCAAGCCGCTGCCTGCCATGAGCAGGTGCTGCGAGTTGCTCAATCACTTGGAGATCGCAGCATTGAGGCAAGAGCTTACGCCGGTCTGGGACACGCATCTCGTTGTGCCGGTGATGCGAACGCCTCTAAACGCTGGCATGAACGTCAGCTGGCCATGGCTTTAGCTGCCCGTGACAAAGTGGGCGAAGGACGAGCTTGCTCCAACTTGGGTATCGTTTACCAGTTGCTGGGCGCACACGATGCCGCTTTAAAGTTACACCAGGCCCATTTGGGCATTGCCCGCGCTCTAGGAGATCGTGCGGGCATGGGACGAGCTTATGGGAACATGGGCAATGCTCATGCTGCAGCAGGAGCTTACGAGGCTGCTGTAAAATACCACAAACAGGAGCTAGCCATTAGCCAGGCTGTGAATGATCGCAGTGCCGAAGCGGCCACTCATGGCAATCTGGCCGTAGCATATCAGGCCTTGGGCGCTCATGATGCCGCTTTGGTTCACTATCGTGCTCATCTGGCGACTGCCCGTTCTATCAAAGACGCGGCAGGTGAAGCATGCGCGCTTTTAAATTTAGGAAACTGCTTGAGCGCTAGACAAGAATATGCCGCCGCAGTGCCTCATTACGAGAGTTACTTGATGTTGGCCCAGGAACTAGGAGATGTGGCTGCCGAAGGAAAGGCTTGCCATCTTCTGGGCTACGCCCACTACTGTCTCGGCAACTACCGTGCTGCAGTGCGCTATTATGATCAGGACTTGGCTCTAGCCAAGGATGCACAGCATCGACCACATATGGGACGCGCCTACTGTAATCTGGGACTGGCACACCTCGCCTTGGGACACACAGCGGCTGCTCTCGAGTGTCAACAACTTTTTTTGGCCGTAGCTCATGCTACCGGACAGCTGACAGCTAAGTTTCGTGCGCTCGGCAACATTGGCGATATTCTCATCAGGTGAGCAATTGCTTGAGAAAACCAATCGTGTACAAAGTTAACTCCACAGTTGGACCCAAAATGTAGCTCACATATATTATATAGCTCTTATATTGGGTTCATTGCTATATATTATACAAAACCAACATAGAATAGATATGAAAGAAAACAATATTATTTCTCTTCAGAATTTCTTGAATGAGAAAAGTTATTATCATTATGAACTACATAATGCAAAAATGTCGTACAAAGTCATAACGTTACTAGGTAATATCTGCTTTTCAATATTCAAAATTTATCATAGCATAATGCTATCAAGGATCATAGTGAGATGAATTCAGAATTAGTCTTCCTGACTGTATTCCTACTTGACTTTCCACCGCAGTTACCTTTTATTGGACAAAAGTCATATTGCGAAACCGACAGAACCAGATGAATTTTTTTATAGAAACGTCATACCATATAATTTAGAAAAAGTTTAAGAGGGAATGGTGTGGCCTCTGATTTTCAATGGGGCTTTAAAATATTAAGCCTTGCTTTAAGCTGCACGAAAAATCTTCTTATCTCGATTGCTAATATATTCTCTGTAATTTTATGTTCCATCTTAAGAACGGGCGCTCACGAGGAGGCCATCAAGCTGTACCAGCGTCAATTGGCCCTAACAAGGGCGGCGGGTGAACGCTCCATGGAAGCATCCGCCTGCAACGCTCTTGGTCTTGCCCATCGATTGCTGCGACGCTGGGATAAGGCTTTGAGCTATCATACGCAGGAACTTACGCTACGCCAGGAGCTTGGCGATCTAACAGGCGAATGTCGCGCCTATGGCCACCTTGGGGCTGTTCATATGGCACTTTGTAGCTGGACGCATGCAATTCAGTGCTATCAGGACCAGTTAGAACGCGCCCAACAGCAACGCGATGCAGCTGTGGAAGCGCAAGCGCATGGAAATATTGGAATTGCCCATCTTAATATGGGACACTATGAGGCCGCCATAGGGTGCCTAGAGACACAACTGGGTACACTGGAACGTGTGGCGTTGCCTACGACACCGTCGGACCGAGCTCGTGCACTTGGTAATCTAGGTGATTGCTATGCTGCTCTGGGTGATTATGAAGAGGCGCTGAAGTGTCACGAACGACAATTGCAACTGGCGCTGGGAATGACCAGTCATCGAGATCAGGAGCGAGCTTATCGGGGATTGGGTCATGCAAGGCGTGCTCTCGGCCAACTGCCTGCTGCACTGGTTTCCTTAGAAAAGCGTCTGGTGGTGGCGCATGAGCTTCACAGTGCAGAGATTAAAGCCTTGGCTTACGGAGATCTAGGGCACGTGCATTCTGCGCTTGGCAATTACGCGCAGGCACTTAGTTGCCTAGAGCATCAGCGGGAACTTGCCCGCGGTCTGGAGGATCGCGTTTTAGAGTCAGATGCGATATGTGCCTTAGGTCAAGTGCATCAACGAATGTCGGATCACGAGGCTGCTCTACGTCTGCATCTTGAGGACCTGCAGTTATGTTCCGAGCTGATGCCATCGTTGCAGGCCAGAGCTCTTGGCAATCTTGGATCAGTGCATGAAGCACTGCAGCAACATGACGAAGCACTCAAGTGTTATGAGCGACAATTGTCGCTGACCACGGACCGACTAAGCAAGGCATTGGCCTGTGGCTCACTAGGACGGGTTCATCGGCAAATGGGTCATAATTTAGAAGCCGTGGACTACCTGCAGCAGGGTTTAGCTAGTGCTCAATCCATTGGAAAGTCGGAAGAAGAGGCAAAGATAAGACATCAATTGGGTCAGTATTAAGACAAAAGCAATTGACTTTAATGCTAATACTTTTCTCACACTGCGTCGTTCTAGGTCTTGCTCTGCATTCATCCGGCGATGCTGAAGGCGCTTGCATTCATCTCGAAACAGCCGCCCAGTTATTGGAAGCTGCACGCTACGAGCAACGAAGTCCAGAGACCCGTCTGTCGCTTTTTGATCTTCAGACAAACTGCTATCATCTTTTGCAACAGCTTTTGGTCTCGCTGCAGCGCAATGAAGATGCACTGCTGGCCGCAGAGCGTTGTAAGGCTCGTCTCGGAGCTGACGTGGATGCGGGCAGTCTACCTCGAAAGGCGACATTGGGAGGAGCAGAGAGCCTTCAAGACACAGTCAACCGAAGCAAGACGACAGTATTATACTATAGTTTGGCAGGCGACGAGCTATATGCCTGGTTGCTCCAGCCACAGACAGGCATCGCACGTTTTCATGCTGCGCGAATCGATGCACAGATGCTGCAGATTCATGGCACTATTAGCGAGCACGATGAAGAGGATGATCACACAGACCAGCCACGTCAGGCGGCTGGCCGCCTGGAACGTTATGTGAATATGGTGCGAGACAATTTGGGCGTCAACTCGGATAGTATATTATATGAAGGTGATGGCAGTGGATGGCGTGCTAGCAATGAGCAGCTCCTCGAGGATTTCCCTGGCAGCGGAAATGGATTTTTGCGAATGGTCAATCGAAACCAGCTGCTAAATTCATCCAACTACTCACTAAGCTCGCTCTTTTCACTGGGATCCGTAGGCGGCTCGGTGGCGAGCTTGCAGGGTTCCACCCGCTCCGTAGGAAGTCGTAGTTCAAGGAGAGCTCCAAGTCTCCCCACATGGCAGGGACCCGCTTGCTTACACACTCTCTACAATTTGTTGTTGGCACCTTTTGACGATCTTCTGCCCAGTGTTGCCAGCGTCGGACGTACGGGACGACGTGAACTCATTTTGGTACTAGACAGTGTTCTGTATCTGGTACCTTTTGCCATTCTGCGTGCTCCGCGTGATGATGGCGAGTATTTATCGGAGAGATGTGCCCTGCTTACCGTCCCCTCGCTGCAGGCCTTGCGTGGTAAATCAAGAATTCGCACCACTGGACGTCCACCTACGGCACTGGTAGTGGGTGGACCACGTGTACCTCAATCTTTAGCCGAACGTTGGGGATGGGCTTCGGCAGAATCGCCAGCTGCTTTGCAGGAGGCTGCCATGGTAGCTGATATGCTGCAGGCCACCGCTCTGGCTGGCTGCAATGCTACTAAGGAGTCGGTTGTGTCCGAGCTAGCTAATGCCGAGTGTGTACACTTTGCAGCCAATCTAAGCTGGCAATTGGGCGCAGTAGTGCTCAGTCCCGGTGACGTGGTAGCTGCCAAACAGGATCAAGATCAGGGACAACAAGAGCTAGGTGAACAGCATGAGCCGCAACTTACAGACTTCACTTTAGCTGCTGCAGATGTTCGCCAGTTGAAACTCAGTGCCAAGCTGGTGGTACTAAGCTCGTATCACTCGGTCGAACCAATAACTGGAGCTGGTGTAGCTCAGTTAGCAGGCAGCTGGCTTCTAGCTGGAGCGGGCGCAGTCTTAATTTCATTATGGCCTGTGCCGGAGACTGCGGCGAAGATTCTTCTAAGGGCCTTCTACTCGGCTCTTCTTCAAGGAGCTCGTGCAGCACGGTAGGTGTTACGGTTACATATTACTTAAAAGGTATAGGAATCATATTATTGTTTTCTTTTTCAGTGCCCTAGCGGAAGCCATGCAAACGGTACAGCACACTAAGCACTTTGCCCATCCTGCCAATTGGGCGGGTTTCCTGCTTGTCGGCAGCAATGTACGCCTGTCAAATAAGGTGGCGCTGATGGGTCACGCACTGTGCGAACTCTTACGCTCGCCGGAGCGTTGCCGTGATGCATTACGTGTTTGTCTGCATTTAGTTGAGAAGAGTCTCCAGCGTATCCATCGAGGCCAGAAGAATGCTATGTATACTACACAGCAAAGCATAGAAAATAAGGCGGGACCTGTAGCTGGCTGGAAGGACCTGCTGATGGCTGTGGGTTTTCGCTTCGAGCCGGCAGCTAATGGCATACCGTCAAGTGTGTTCTTCCCACAGGCTGATCCGGAGGAGCGCTTATCGCAGTGTTCGGCTAGTCTTCAAGCTCTCCTCGCTCTCACGCCACTCACATTGCAGGCGCTGGCCAAGTTGGTTAATAGTCCCGAGCATGCGGATGATATAATTGCTGTCTTCCGCAACATTCTCGCTCAATTTCCGCCGAAGACCACAGCAACAATGACGGTGGATACGGATGCCTGCATTGAAATGCCATTAAGTGTGCGTCTGTGGCGTGTTGCTGGTTGTCATGAGTTGCTCGCTTCAGTGGGTTTCGATCTCACCGAAGTCGGCACAGATCAGGTGACCTTACGGACTGGCAAGCAAGCGAATCGTCGTCACTGCCAATTTGTGTTACAGGCTCTATTGGCTCTTTTTGGTAAGTTAACAAATCCTCAACATATTTTGGATAATTAATTAATTTCTTATTTCGACTAGATACCCAAGAAGCACCTAAGAGCCTTGGCCTGGATTCAGCGCGTAGCAGCAGCTCCGAGTCATTAGCGGAGGCGGATGCTCCACAGCCGCCTCCAGCTAATAATACACAGGAAGTTCATGTAACACCACAAACCCAGCCATTACCTCCACTGCCGTTACATCCACGTAGCGCCTTCATATCCTATGTGCGACGTCGTGGAGAGCCCGACGGAGGAAGTACAGCCGCCACAGACAGCCATGCTGCATTAGCTGCTGCTGCGGCTGGAGTTGACTCTAGCCTGGCCAATACCACGGACAGCGAGCTTTCCGATGGATACACTCCATTGGCGGCCAATGGACAACCACCACGTTTCGGTTATGCCAGTTTGCGGGGACCTGTGCGCGTTTCTCGGCCTGGAGGAGGCGGTGAAAGTGATGCCACCTTTACACCAAGTCCACCTGTGACCGATCCTAGCTTGTCTCTGGCCTTGGCCCATCAGACTCGCATACGCAGTCTCTATTCTAGCGGTGCTAATGTTCAGGCGGCTGCTCCGGCACCACCAATCGCAGGAAATGTTGCTCCTGGTCGTCGTCCGGACAGTTCAAGCTCGGCGAGCAGCACCACCGATTGGGAGGGCTCCGGTCATGCGACAGTTTTAAGACGTGCATCCTCGCAGCAACCACCGCTTCCCCCGCCTCGCCCTCTCGCTCCAACCTACCATAATTTAGGGGTTGGAGGACGCATTAAGCCCAAGATAAAGCTGGGCAGCGCACAAACTTCTGTGGCAGCACGGGTGAACAAAGAGCACGCCCTGTTTATGGATCGCCTAAATGTGCGCACCGAAACGGGAGGCGCTTCTACGTCGAATATTGGAGTATCAGCCACCGGTGCCCGCAAGCCCTTAGCTTTATCTGAGGATGAAAGCGGAGCAGCAGCCGCGCTGGCTCTTAATACATCGAGTTTATACTTTTCACAGTCGGACAGCGAGATGCTTAGCGAAACAGAGCAGGAACTGAAGCTCGAAGGTAGTGGTAAGGAAGCGCCGTCTAAGCCTAGCCATAAATCCATCCAGGACAGTATTTTGCGACACATGAATCGCGAGATGACGCCCACAATTTCAGAAGTATACCACGAACGGAATTTGGGCTTGGGTCTGGCGCCTCCACTTTCCAAACTGCTGCTCAGTCCCAACTACGAGGATCACAATGCACATGGAGATGCTGATGAGAAAGGAGCTGTGGCTGGGGGCAGCAATATGGCTGCTGCAGCCATAAAGACGCTTGTGGATGCAGTTAGTGATTTGGAGCTAAGTGGAAGCTCTTCCGGCGCTACAATACCTACGGTTGTGAATGAAGGAGAAGCGACTATTGCTGCCAATACCGTTGGTGTAAGCGAAAGCACTTGTTCAATATGTGGCGAATCCTCAAATGTCATCTGCCATTGCAAGGCCGCCACTATGCCCAAAAAAGGATCTCTAAAACCCTGGCTCAGTAATTTGCCATCTGCTAGTCTTGTTCAGGCCAGTGAGCTGACCACTGCAGATATTTTAGAGCGTCGACTAGAAGAGGGCGGTGCTCGAAGCCCCAACTTTACGGCTGAGCTGTGTCGTCGCGACGAGGGCGATGGACGTTCCGTGGCCGATTCGCAATGCAGCAGTAACTATAAGCGTGTGGTGGCCAATATGGTAGCAGTTAGTCCAGTTGATACGCAAACGAAGTCCAGCTCAAATCTCTCGGCCGCCACCTGTTCGCCCGGCCGTCTGGTATAAAAGGAGACAGCTTGATTAAGACAAAAAATTAATACAAACCGATATTTGATAGTACATATTACATACGATTTATATTTTCTAAAAATGCATTTACGCTATATCAGTGCTTTATTATTCTAAGCGTGAACAAAATGTATGTTTCTGCCAAACCCTGATAATGACTAGACTAAGAAAATGTCAAAAATTTGTTACTATTTATAGTCTTGAACTGATGTGCTTAGAAATATATGTATGCTCATATATATTATAGTATTTATACAATATAAATTATTATATGATACTATTCCAAAAACCGACTTATTCTTAGAACGGATGCGGCTTGAAAGCATTTCCACTTAAGCGGTACAAATTATACAATTAAGTTATAGCTGAATATATACAAGAACGCAAATAACATTCGCAGTTAGCTTTTGATGACGGCTTTATCTTCCATTCCTGAATATGTTAGCTTAAAAAAAATTAGAGCTTCAGTTTTTAGCTTTTATTATATCGGAAGCTTTCCAATATTTTTTCCGTACAAAATGAAGTAGATCACTGAAAGATTTGAAATATGTTTTTCTACAGATATTTGAGTTGGAGCTGATAATATAATGGTACAGCCAATGTACCTATTTCTGTTTTAATTTCATAATACTTGTACAACAAATAATTTTCATGAATATACGCAATGTATGTAGGTGGATGTATGTATGTATGTATGTGTGATACTTAACACGCTGCTCTGTGATACTTGACAATGAGATAAATCTTCAAATTTATGTGCAACCATAAACTCAAAGATGAAAATGAAGATGAAGATATCAGACGGTCTGACCCCAAAACCTTAACCCAAGGGCCAAATTATGTTGTCAGGAGCACACAAATTCACATAACACAGACACACACACACATGCAAATGCACATACATATATGTAGGGTGGTGAGCATTTGTGTCAGGCAATTGCCTAATTAAATTTTATATCAAACACATAAAACTGTATTTCAATAAACAAGTCGAGGCATGTGAACAGAAGCTGGGCATAAAAGTCAAAGTCATCAAATAAATACACACACACACAAACAATTTCGTATGCTGCCAATATTTTTCGCTTCATGCAGTCAATACATATTTGCATTTCACCCCATCGTGGCTTTAATAACGTTTGAGCGCTTTCGTTTGCCGCGGAGTTAATAACGACTAACCGTTTGGCCAAAGGTTTGCTTCGTTCGGTTCGGTTCGGTTCGTCTGTCGCTCCCCATGGCACAACATTAAAATCATGCGGTTCATTGAACGACGAATGGACGTCAGACGATTAAACGACTCACTGACCGCTTCGCTTTCAATATCAAAAATGGAAGTGCATGCGAATAAACAGCAAACAGTAGGAGAAGTCAGTATGCGGAGCCGAAGAGAAGAAACTGGTTGGAGAAGTGGCGAGCCAGGCTGTCCATCCTCGCTTGTTGACTCAGCATACTGCTGGCCAGTGACAGTCGAGCGGACAAGCATTTGACAAGTGGCTCGCCTGGCTCCGTCTGTTTGCCCAAAATGTACAGAGCATCAGGTACAAGAGCTTTAGAATAGCAGCGGTTTGTCTGTGTAACGCATACGCCCCGTATGTTAGCTCATAGATCGCAGTACGAGTATATATGTCAATGACGTTGCCAAGCAAAGTCGGAACATTGCCATAGCTATAGTACGAGTATGTCATGGAAAGCGTAGATTGTTTGTTCTTATCCTTTGGCACTCATATAAAGTTTGTTTGCGGATTTGTGCAGCGCAATATGTCAGTGCAGTGGTGCAGGCGACTGCGGCCGGCGAGGGATGAGAGGCGGCAGCATCGACCACGCTTAATGGCAATGTACGTTCAAGTAAACACACAGACGCGCACGCATACACACACACACACACACAAACACACTACATACAACATACAGCATACTATATATGTATATGCTGGTCGTACACGTTGCCAGTATACGTCGACTAACAAATCCTTTTGGCATTATAAACATTATTAAAATTTCATGTTTCCGACGACGGCTGAGCATCGTGCTACGCCGACACGGCCACTCGTTCCACTCCACAGCGCCAACAGAACGAGAAACGTAACGAAACATGAAGCACAAAAGTGTGGCGGGGCACTGAAAACAGAAAACACCCATGTTGACCGCCCGCTGTCTAGCCTCAGTTATTTCCATCATTCTTCAAGCTTCATGCTTTATGGTTACTTGGTCAAGGGCCTTTCATGCTAACACATACATACTCACACATACACACTCACACACGTGTGCTCATACATATATACGTATGTATTTACTCAATCTAACGCTATCATGCACACACACAGAGACAGCGGCATAAAATGCATGAAATTCTCGCCGTAAATCGTTAAAATGATTTCTATTTAAGTAAATATGCAAAAATGCTTTGTTATATTTGCGTGTTTTGTGAGTATGTGCGCGTGTGTGTATGTGTGTTTGAGGCTGCTTTCAGCAATTTACAGTTTAATTTGAAAATTTAACAATGCTCATAAAAAGCGGCGGTTGATGCTGCCGGTAAATATTTATTTGCAGCTTTTCTTCTTCTCCATTATTTTTATGCCGTGCACATGGCGTATGTGTAATCATTTGACAGGCCTCCAGGAAAATGTAGCATGCTTTAAGGCGCTGTTTGAAAATTCTGATACTTTACATGCTTGCCAGCATTTCATTGATGTTTGTTCAACCGAGCTGTAAATGTTTCGTGCACAGCTTTTTTTAACATTGAATGATTTTTAAAAAATATTCTCGTTTAGTGTTCGTCTCCTTAGCGCAAACCAAATTATTTCGACTGCATTTAAATTGGTCACTATAATTATTACAATCTAATTGACTGCAAATCAGATTGAAATTGACACATTTGGATATGTTTCCTATATTTTACATGTTAAAGTTGTTTAGCTAACTCCCTGTCTTTATACATTTCACAGATATACTTGTATTTTCTTTTTCAAAAGTTTTATTGTACTTACAGAAGAAATGATTGAATTGAAAGTTTAATCAACTTTCTGAAATACTGGAGATTCGTTCTAAATATCTTGTGCTGTAATAGGTCCATAGCTTCTATATTGCTTTGTATTTGCGGTCTATTAATTAAACTGGTGTCATAAGCTTCATTTGTAAACATTGGTGCTGTTAAAGTGTAGTTGCCCTAACGCAAGTATGTTGTCCTTCTTTTTTTTTATTGAAATAACTTTTCTCCAAAGGAAAACGGTCCTACTGTTTTAAAAATAATTATTTTTGCCTTCACTGAAAACGTCTGCCAACAATGGAATGCTTCTGGCCACAAACGGCTGCGTGAAAGCATAGCTTGCAACCTGCTTCAGATTCCTCAACACCTTTTACTGCAAAGTGTAAGGGTTTATTTTTCTTTGTACTGCCCAGTATAGTAGGAATATGATCAGAATGAAGAGATGAATCGAAAGCACACGTCCGATTGCTCAACTACAGTTTTCGGCCGTTAAAATTTAGCACAAAGACTATTTTTTTAAAATTTTTATATTTAAAATGATAAATTGTATATTTAAAATTAGAATTTGCTTAGACTGAAACAGTATTTAATATTCATGAAAGAATATTGTTCCATTGTCAGGCTCAGTGAAGTTTATAGCTTGTTTTAAATAAATTATGATTTAGTTTGTTTTATTTGCTTCTAGTTTTATATTTTCAACTCTTCAACTACTGAATTTAATTCAAAATAGTTATAAGGCTTTTGTTTATTTTTGTTTTCGTACACAAGTTAAACTAGTTAGTTTCCTTGAAATAAATCATGCATTTTATATAGATTCTCATGTTAAATGGTACAGACTGACTGTAGCCTTTAAGCCTTTTAAGCGAATTGTTCTGTTAACTTTTTGCAATTCTCTCACAATATCTTGGCAGCGTGCAAAGTTTACCTGTGCACCGCATTGCAAAGAAAAAAATAAATAAAAAAAATACAGCAACACACAACTACAAGGAACAACAATGGAAAACAATGTGCAGGCTTTTTGCTAACTAGCTAACACAGCATCCCACTTTTGTTGTTGTTCCTATTGCTGTTGATGCTGCTGATGCTGTTTTTGTTGTTGTGGGTTGGGGCAAGCCCAACGCACTTAACACTTGCGCCGCAGTGCCAAAGCTTAGCTGGCAACTTTTCCGAGTGCTGTGAAACTACAGGATACTTAGCGGCATTGCGAAAATCTACTTCAGTGCGTCACGTAGGCGCTTCAAAGTTTTCATTTTTGCAAAAATTTACGATTTACGTTAAAGTGCAAATGGAAAACAAAAAAAAGAGGAACGATAGCAAGTATATGACCATATATAACGACCGTTACCTATATACGAGTATATACGAATATGTATATAAACCCATGTACTTCGAGCTGAAAGAATAGCAAAGTTTGAACACAACCAAAATCCTGCTAAGTAAGTGTTCGACGTTGGGTTGGTTCAGCTGCTTTGGCAGCACACGTAGCTCGGATTTTGCTACGTCTCCATCTTTATTGCACTTAAGATTTACTCATCAGCAGGTGTGCCGACTGAATAGCGTAACCCTGCCCTCTATAAATACGAGGGTTGTGTTATAACGAATTGCCTGCGCTCTGAAAAGCGAAAACACAAGGGACGTACCAATTTGATAATTGTCCATATATCAGTTAGCTTAAGCAGTTTTAAACATTCAGCTTAAATTATGTTTACAGCTGGTTCGGAAGAAATACCTACACTCTTAGTTGATTCCAGCCTTATGCCATTTCTGGCCAAAAACACCGAAAAGCCGGAAATTTCTTATTGCTGTATTTTAATTTTTCTAAGTGAATTGTTTTATGAATTATGAACTATGAACTGTTTTTTTTTTGGTTTTTTTTTTTTACCAATTTTCTGTAGTCAATACCATAATCGGGCCTGGCTTAGCTCAATGATCTAACAGGAATTCCACTCAATCTAGAAATAGGCTTTAAAATTGTCGACTTATTAACAAACCAAATTTGGGCAGAAATTGT